CAACACACAAAAGAACTGTAACGCCGGGACCCTCCGCCTCCCATCAGTGCGGGGGGCAGCAGGGGGGTGGGTGGGCGGGGGGGGGGGGGGGGGGGGGGGGGGGGGGTTAAGGGTTACAACACCTGCACCACAGTTTGGGGGGAGGCAGAAATCATCATCATCAAACAGGATATTCAAAGCTGCACAAAGCTAAACTAAACTTACAAAAAAAAGAAGAAAACTAAATCCCAAAACTATCGTAATTGCCAGAACAAACCTTTGGCCATATGGCACTGGCTCAAAGCCTCATGACTTCGAGCTGAGGGCCAATTAGAGCGTATTCGTATTTGAAATGGCCAAGACAAGGGACCGGGTCGAGGGCCACGGCCACTGCCAGGCCAAATGCTTGTTATGCAGATTGTGCACTAAGCCATTTTCCCACAAGACCCTTAATTAAGATGCTGTCGAGATGATGATGATGCCGATGAAGAGAGATATGAGAATCCAGCACCTAATATCCAAGCAAACGTATGTGCCCTGGCACTTGGCACTTGGAACTGATTTGCAGCCAATGTGTTTTGTGTCTTGGGGCTGGAATTTCTGGCTGCAGTTTCGATAAATTACACATGATATGAGAAACGGTTCCAGTCATCCGTCCTGGCAAGAAGGTCTTTATCATAATTCAGTCACTATTCAACCAAAAAGGAACAGAGGAAATCTACTTAACCTATAGTCCTTAAATCTCCACAGATTTAGCTGGCAAGCCGCCTTCTAAGCAGCTTAGAAAATTATGCAGATGACTTTCTGTTGAATTGTGTGGATGGGGGGATGGTAGGGGAAAAAGTCTCCTTCTAAGCTGAGAGGCGTTGTAATAAACATAAATATGATAATGTGTGCCGAGTATATCCTTCTAGAATGTGTTTTGATTTAAATGGGTTTTTCGTTTGTGCGCTGCTGCTGCCATTTGCAGCTGAAGTTTCTAATTTACTCCTTTGGCTACATGTCTGGCTGTCTGTTTCTCTTGCTAGGACACTGATTCTCATTCTGATTTTAACTTTGGGTTTGTGCGAAGTCTGTGCGGAGCGAAGAAGCATCCTTTCTGCTTATCAGTGCCTCTGCACTCGACATAACCAGGCAACATTTTTAATAATGAAATTGCTCACCAAAAAAAGAAAACTTTGGAATGAGCAAATTCTTGCAGAATGTTTTCTAGCTACCATTCCCAGCTCCAGCTCCATCTACAGCTCCCTGCCACAGTACATCCGGCACTGGCAGCAGAACAGGACCTTCTCCTTCCATTGCGAGAGCGAGAGTGTGTTCCCTGGGAGTGAACGCATATTTTAGCATAATGCCTCAAATTATGTGCTTTCTACGCTATGCAAAAATTTAATGCCAGCAAAATGAGCAAAGGCACAAAATTGCC